GTGCAGTTCCGAGCAAGTAACAGCATGTGTAGGTGTGACGGTGGGAGTCATTGACTAACTGCTTTGAAAGCTATTGATCCTCTGTCCAGGAGACATTTCATATGTGCAAAATTTTACATTTAATTCCAGGGAGTGATAGTGAATCTGGTCTGGAAATAGGTTACTAGAACTATCTAGTATTATCAATTTCGATGAACTCTTTTTACTGTAAGAAGTTTGTAAGTGATATTGCTGGTTAGAGGGCAAAGTGCTTTCATCAAAGGTGCTACTTTGTTCCTTAAAATTAGCTTGTAAGTTAATAGAAATGTAATAACACTGGGTTAGTAGAGGGAGATATAATTTTAGTCCTTTTAGTTCTGTGTGGTGGGGCATGGTAGAATTTTGGCAAATGGTTGTTAGGACTCTCCGGTTTTAAGTTTTTAATTTGGCCAACTTACCGAGGATCAAATTGAGGCGTGACCCACTTTTGCCCGGGTCAAAACAATCAGGGCATGGAAAATAATAATCGTTTTTTTCTTTGCAGGAAACTTTGTAAGGTTTCCAAGTTGGCAAAATCTACATCCCACATCTGAGTCACATTAAAAGCCATGACTAGAAATATAGGCATTTGAAAAATAAAACTTCTAAGTTGCAAAATGCATCTTTGAATACTTGAGATCTCTTTCAGGTAAATCTCTCAGCTGAATTAGTAACAGAGCATGTCATTTGTTTACGGGTACTTGATAATGTGAAGAGCCGTATCATGTTTTCTGTATCTGGCATTTGACAGCTGTTAACTAGTGAAATGAGAGATTAGCCTGTGCAACTAAAAGCATACACTGGATCCTTTCAAACAAAACCATGTCACTCTCTCCATAAAGTATTGAATTAGCTTGTTGGCAGGATGTGTACATAATGCTACTGAAAGACTTATGTTTTCTTAATGAAGAATACAGAATATGTTATTTTTAAATTACAGTTTACATTCAATATTGTTCTGTATCAGTTTCAGATGTACAACACAGTGGTTAGACGATCATGTGGTCCCCCCGATATTTCAAGTACCCGTCTGGCCCTGTCCATTGACTATATTCCCTGTGCTGTAATCTACATCTCTGTGACTATTCTGCCCCCCAGCCTCCTTCCCTGTGTCAGCCGTAAGTCTGTTCTCTGTATCTAGGAATCGGATTCTGTTTTGATTGTTGATTTATTTTTCTCTTTAGATTCCACATATAAGTGGAATCCTATGGTATTTGTCTTTCTCTGACTGACTTATTTCCCTTAGCATAATGCCCTCTAGTCCATCCATGCTTTTGCAAAAGATAAGATTTCATTCTCTTTCATGGCCAAATGGTATTCCATTGTGTATATGTACCACAGCGTTTTTACCCACTTGTCTGTTGATGGGCAGTTGGGTTACTTCCATTTCTTGGCTACTGTAAATAACACTGCCATTAACATGGGGGTGCATAAATTCTTTCGAATTAGTGCTTCGGGTTTCTTAGGATATATTCCCAGAAGTGAAATTACTGGGTCATAGGCAGCTCCACTTTTAATTTTTTGAGGAACCTCTGTACTGTTTTCCGCAGTGGCTGCCCCGGTCTGCATTCCCACCAGCAGTGTACGTGGGCTCCCTTCTCTCCACACCCTCGCCAGCACTTGTTGTTTGTTGGTTTGTTGATGGCGGCCATCCTGACAGGTGTGAGGTGATACCTCATTGCAGTTTTGATTTGCATCTCTCTTATGATGAGTGACATTGAGCAACTTTCCATATGTCTATTGACCATCTGTATGTCTTCCTGGGAGAAGTGTCTCTTCAGGTCTTCTGCCCACTTTTTAATTGGATTGTTTGTTTTTCTACTGTTAAATTATATGAGTTCTTTATAAATTTTGGATATTAACCCATTACCATTGTATCATTGTGAATAGCCTCCGCCATTCAGTAGGGTTTCTTTTCACTTTGTTGATGGTTTCCTTTGCTGTGCAAAAACTTTTTCATTTGATGTAGTCTCATTTGTTTATTTTTTCTTTTGTTTCCCTTACACAAGGAGATGTATCAGAAAAAAATATTGCTACGAAAATGTCACAGCTTTTACTGCCTATGTTTTCTTCTTAGGAGTTTTGTTTTTGAGTCTGACATTTACACCTTTAATCCATTTTGAGTTTATTCTTATGCATGGTGTAAGAAGGTGGTCTAGTTTCTTTTTTTTTTTGTAAACATGTATCTGTTCAATTTTCCCAGCACCATTTATTGAATACACTATCTTTACCCCATTGTATGTTCTTGCCTCCTTTGTCAGATATTGACCGTAAAGGCATGGGTTTATTTCTAGGTATTCTATTTCATTGATCTATATGTCTGTTTTTATGCCAGTACCATGCTGTTTTGATTACTATAACCTTATATTTTGAAATCAGGTAGCATGATACGTCCAACTTTGGTCGTATTTCTTGATATTGCTGAGGCTATTGGGGCGGTCTTTTGTGGTTCCATATAAATTTTTGGATTATTTGTTTTAGTTCTGTGAAATACACCATTGATATTTTGCTAGGAATTACATTGAATCTATAGATTGATTTGGGTAGTATGGACATTTTAACTATATTAATTCTTCCTATCCATGAACATGGTATATGTTTCCAGTTACTTGTATCCTTTTCAGTTTCCTCCTTCAGCATTTTATAATTTTCCAAGTACAGGTCTTTTATCTCCTTGCTTAAATATATTCCTAGGTATTTTATTTTGATGCAATTGTAAATGGGAAAGTTTTCTTAAATTCACTTTCTGATAGTTCATTATTGGTGTATAGAAATGCAAGCGATTTCTGAGTGTTAATTTTTCATCCTGCTACTTTACTGATTTCATTGATCAAATCTAGTAGTTTTTTGGTGTAATCTTTAGGGTTCTTTATATACAGTATCAAGTCATATGCAAATATTGACAATTTTACTTCTTTCTTTCTGGTTTGGATGCCTTCTATTTCTTCTTGTCTGACTGCTGTGGCTAGGACTTCTAGTACTGTGTTGAATAAGAGTGGTGAAAGTAGACATCCCTGTCTTGTTCCTCATCTTAAGGGAAACACTTTTAGTTTTTGCCCATTGATTGATGATGTTGGCTGTGTGTTTGTCTTATATGGCCTTTATTATGTTCAAGTATGTTCCTTTTAGTCCCACTTTGCTAAGAGTTTTTAATCATAAAAGGGTGCTGGATTTTTTCAAATGCTTTTTCTGCATCTATTGATATGCTCATATGATTTTTATTTTTCATTTTGTTTATGTGGTGCATCACGTTAATTGATTTGCTGGTATTGTACCAACCTTGCATCCCAGGAATAAATCCCACTTAATTATGGTGTATGATCTGTTTAATGTATAGCTGGACTCGGTTCACTCACATTTTGTTGAGGATTTTTGCATATATGTTAATCAGGGAGATTGGCCTATATATATTTTTTTCTTTATAGTGTCTTTATCTGGTTTTGTGATCAGGAAATGCTGGCCTCTAAAATGAGCATGGAATTCTTCACTCCTCTTGAATTTTTTGGAATAGTTTAAAGGGATAGGTGTTCTTTGACTGTTTGGTGAAATTCACCTGTGAAACCATCCAGTCCAAGACTTTCGTTTGCTGGGAGTTTTTTGATTACTGCTTCAATTTCATTAGTTGTAGTTGGTCTGTTCATATTTTCTGTTTCTTCTTGATTCGGTTTTGGAAGACTGTATGTTTCTAGGAATTTATCCATTTCTTCCAGATTTTCCAATTTGTTGGCATATAGTTGTTTGTAATATATTCTTATAATCTTTTGTATTTCTTTGATTTCAGTTGTCAGTTGTTAATTTTCCTCTTTAATTTCTGATTTTATTTATTTGGGTCCTCTCTCTCTTGTTCTTGGGTCTGGTTAAAGTTTGTCAATCTTCTTTTATCTTTTCAAAGAACCAGCTCTTGGTTCCATTGACTTTGTTTTTTTGTGTGTTTTTTTTTAGACTATTTTGTTTATATTCGCCTTTCCTCTGTCTTTTCCAATGCTATATGGAATTAATTTATTGACCACTTTAAAAAATAATAACTGCATCTGTTGTGTATTATGAGCAAAATTTTTCAAGGCCAAATATCAGTTCAGTGTCAAAATAATTAAATTATATTCACTTTAATGTATATTTGAGTGCCCAGCATATGCAAAGCAATACAGGTGTTTTACAAATATATGAAATATAGTTCCTGTACTCAAGTATTATCAATTTAACAGCAAGGATTAGGAATTGAAATCTACTTTTTCAATCCCCCAGGTCGATGGAAGTTATGATATCAGAAGGCACAGTTTCAGACTGGATTAATAATAGAGTCAGAATGAACCAGAAGGCCAGTTTAAACATTTTGGGGAAATAAACTGAACTTTGTACCATACCTTGGTGGTGGTTGCTTGTTTTCATACCCAGGGATCTCTAAGTTAGGTTTGCAGTCTACATTTATTTATTCTCCATGCTGGTACTACAAGCATCTACAGTTTTATTACTTGTTACAAACTTAGTAGGTAGTACACAAATAGAAATGTTTAATATTTTTTCTATAAGAGAGGCATAAATAAAGTATGACCATTGTTAGCATAGATGTAGGAGAGATCATATCCTGTGGAAAACAGTTGGGAAAAGATTCATGGAAGAATCTTCGACCTGGGATTTCAAAGGATGCATGTAATTTCAGGTAAAGTTTGCCCTATGCCAAGTCAGGGTATCAGAGTAAACAAACTCAGAATAAGAACTGTACATGGTGTACTGGCAAGGCAGTGAGCAGCCCTTTGAGCAGGAATATGGGAATGTGCAGGGGTTGTTTTGGGGGTATATTGGGAGAGGTAGGTTGGTGCCATGCTGGTAAGCCTTGAATGCCTTTAATTTAAATAAGTAATGGAGATTTATGAGTGCTTTTTACATGGGAGAGGGTGGTGGTAAAGTGGTAGGCTAGTACAGCTGGATTATCCCCTAACTGCGTTTGTGTACTAACTGAATTCATGTCTTGTCTCTTTCAGGAAGTTCACGATTTATTACAAGACTATGAGTTAAAGTATTGTTATGTGGACAGAAATAAGCGCACAGGTAAGATTTGAGTTCTAAGGATCTAATTTCATTTTGATTGTACATATAGTCATAAAACAAAAAGGCATAGTATGTTTTCATTCTTAAGCTAATCATTTAGATTCTTAAGCATTAATCATGTAAATGTTACTCATAAAATTTATTTTTTGAAGATAATATACTAAATTTTAATCACATAAATCAATATGTTACTAAAGCCTTACGAATTTTTATGATGACTATTCTGATGCTATAGGTTTTAATGTTGTAGTGAATATTCTTTATAAGCTCTGTGTTCTTCAATTTTAATAATTTATTACTGGACCTGGTGAATAAAGAAGTGTATTATTTGACTTTCACTGGCAAATTGGGAAAATTGCTTAATTTTTCCATTAACTATGATGGGCAAAGCCTCCTTCCTTCCTTTCTTCCTTTCAGCAAGGGATATGCAGCATGAACAATAACCAAAAAAACCCTTTTGTTTTGTTAAGCCATTGAAATTGTGGAGCTGTTTGTTACCAGAGTCCCTTCACTAGTACCTATAATTTTACTATATGGATAATTAACAGTGTTGTTCTCAGTGGTTTTAAAAACTTTACGTAAGTGGTATTCTATAGGTTTCATTTAGTAACTTGCTTTTATTTTTTTTAACTCAACCTTAGTTTCAGATTTTTCCACATTGATACATAGAGCTTTATTTCATTGATTTAAACTACTACATACTATTCTGTCCTGTGAATTAGTCACCACTGATAAATCCATTCATTACTGGTAGGCATTTAGGAAGCTTTAACCTTTCCAGTATTTCAAATAATGCTGTAATGAATATCCTTTTCTTTGTCTTCTGATATACACTGTAACTGTTTCTCCATGAGCAAATTACTGGGTCATATGTTATGTACAATTTCAGTGTTACTAAATATTGACAAAGGGATTAGAGGTAACTGTCTCACAGCTCACATAGGGCCAGGAATAGTGCTGTTCCCGTCAGCTAGGTGATAAACCTTATAATCCATGGTGCATCCCGAGGAGTGTGCAGGTGGGTCTTGTCTCAAGAGTCAAGAAAATTAACTCTGGTCTTACCTAACAAAATTTAAAAATGAGACCTGAAAGGATCAAGCTGATTCCTAGTAACTAAACCACATCCTAGAACAAAACTTAAGAATATTTATATAAAGACAAAAACATCCAGCCCCCAACAAGGTGACATTTACAGTGTCTGGCATGAAATAAAAAATTACTAGACATGGCAAAGAAGCAAGAAAATACAACCCATAATAAAGAGAAAAATCAAACAAAACTTGGAATTGAAACAAAAGAATTGGTAAAATGGACTTTAAAACAGTTTTTATAACAATGTTGCATCGGTACAAGAAATTATAATAAAGATTGAATATATTAAGTGGAGCTATGGAAGATACTGAAAAATACCAAGTCAAATTTCTAGAGAGGAAAACTACAACGTCTGAGATTAACATAAGTAAATAAGTAACGGTATATGGGATTAACAGCAGAGTAGACACTGGGGGTGGGGAGGATTACTGAACATGAATACATAGAGATAAAAACTATCTGAAAAGAAACAGAGAGAGAAAGCCTATGTGACATGGACAGAGTACCAGTGAGCTGTTGGACAACTCCAGGAGTCCTGTTACAGTAATTGGAGTCTCTGAACAGAGGATGGGAGGAGTGCGTCATATTTTTAATTTGAGTTACTGTCATGATATTAGTTTAGTGGGTGTGTCAGCATTAGAAAGCACAGTGAAATAGAAAATATTAGAGCACTTTGAATATGGTAAGAGTATTACTCCCTGATATTTTTGTTTCAGAAATATATATGTATATGTGTACTCAGTTGCAGACATAAAATGTATTTTTTACTGTGAGTCATAGCCAAAAAGGTTTGAAAACACAGGCTTAGAAAACTCTTTTATTTTATCTTCCAGCATTTGTTACCTTGTTGAATGGGGAACAAGCCCAGAATGCAATTCAGATGTTTCATCAATATTCTTTTCGAGGAAAAGACTTAATAGTCCAGCTCCAGCCAACAGATGCTTTGCTGTGTATTACCAACTTGCCCACTTCCTTTACATTAGAAGAGTTTGAAGAACTCGTTCGAGCTTATGGGAACATTGAGAGATGTTTTCTGGTCTACAGTGAAGTTACTGGCCATTCCAAAGGCTATGGATTTGTGGAATACATGAAAAAGGACTTTGCTGCAAAGGCTAGACTGGAGCTGTTGGGCAAACAGCTGGGGGCTTCAGCTCTCTTTGCACAGTGGATGGATGTTAATCTATTGGCCGCAGAGCTCATTCATTCTAAGTGCCTTTGTATAGATAAACTCCCTACTGACTATAGGGATTCAGAGGAGCTGTTGCAGTTTTTTTCCACTATCCATAAACCTGTGTTTTGCCAGGTATGTATTCTTAAGATGGCATTAGAAATACTTTAAAATATCTGCTTTGTGTCTGTTCTGCATGCGCTCACAAATTTATGATACCTGTGTGAATATCACAATGGTTAACCTCATTCTATTTTAGTCTACAATGAAGATTTTAATGTCACGGTAAATTTTTAATCAAGCCCTTTTGTTGATGGACCAGACTACATTGTTATATAGTTAAATATGTCTTAGCATGTCCATCACTTAATCACCTCATTTCATTCATTCATTACACCGTTCACCCATTGATCCATTCCTCCATCTACGTTTTATCTATCACCTTCTCTGTGCCAGACACTATATTGCTAAATACCAGGAATATAGATATCAGAAAGATACTCTCTCAATAACCTCACAATTTTGTAGACAAGACTGACAGGTAATCTAATAATTGGAAATCTTGTATGAAAAGTGATATAATAGAAGATAGAAAAGTATAATGAGGCTTAAAGAGAACATACAATTTTGTCTTAATGGGGTCATGGTAAGTGAACCATTTAGAAAAGATCCTGAAAACTGACAACACTGGTAAAAATTTTCAACCTCTTTATCATAGTAAAATTAAATATATTGACTAAATAGACAAAAATGCTGCTATCTATAACTTCTTTCCTTACAGAGGTAAGATAGCAACTGATGAACTTGCTGTCTTCCCTGCCTTTCTTACCCCCCCTTTTCTTTAATCATATATTTGTTGACTCTCCATAATTGCAGTAGGAAGTTTAGAGTCATAGTGTAATCATATATCTACATAAATACACATATACACAATACAGATGTATATATACATGTATATGAATAATGCTACCATCTTCCTTTTCTCAAATTTCCACCCCTCCAATCCCAATATAATAAGCATCAAAGAAACCACCCAAGAGCTTTATAAAATTTTGTAACAAATTTTAATCAAATCTCTGACCTCAAATCTCAGCTATCGAAAGTTGATTATCTTATCTATTTGCTATTCTTGATACTAAGAATTGTATAGCAATATCCTGTGGCCATACATAATTCTTTGTAGCTTAAGTTGAAGCCTTTGATACAAATGAGAGGGGAAAAGCTATTTGTCACAAATTGTATATGAATTATGAATCCCAGAGTCAGAGGGACCTGAGAGGTTATCTAGTCCAGCTTGCCATCTTGTAGAAAAATGTTTGTTAAAATATTTGTATCTACTGTTAAAATATTTCAAAATAATGGAAATTTAACTAGATCACAAGTCAACCATTTATGTATTTGAATGGCTCTCAGACTGAACTGAAATGTTCTCTTTAAAACTACCTGTGCCATGGACTTAGACGGTTTTTTGTCTTTGGAAAGAATTAAAATGGTATTATAATTTATATAGGCATGGAGGTTATCACAGTGAACCAGGAATAATAATAAATGTTTTTAAAGTTTTCAAAAGATTAATAAAAACTACTTTATGACACTTCTGTCAGTGGCTCTGTTAAATTCAGGCTCTTTTGCTTGGTAGGTTGACACAGACTAGATTGAAGACAGCCTCTTATGTTGTAATCAAGAGAGACCAAAGAGACTAACGGCTTCTACAAATCTGATTTTAAGATCTGGTTTGGGTTATAGGAGGAATGGGGTTGTAGGAGAAATGTTTAGAAGAGGCAGGTGTTTTCCCTTTCTCCCACTTGACTGGGAGAATGTTTTATGGAGAAAAAGACATATGAGGACAGTTTTTAAAAGAAGGAAGAATATGAAGGAAAAATAAAAAATTTGTCTACTATACATGAAAGTAGAAGTTTCAAAAGTAAGAGGAGGAACTAGAAATGATTTAATTGTAATATTAACTTGTGAGGTGCCAAATCCAAATAGAAGTGTTGTTCATGTGTCATCTCAAAGACACACCCAGCTGAATTTTATCTCATTGATCACTTTCTAGTTTGAATGTATTTAAAATAATTCAGACAAGTTCAAAACTCAGAAACGTTTTAGTGTCTTACTTTGCTCTTATTTTTGCTCTTTGTGCCAGTCTTCACAGATCCAGGACTTTAGTGTCTTCCTTTACATTCTCACAGGTGGGTGACTGGAAATAAATTGAGTTCTGCATTTTAGGAGTTAATTTAGGGCACATTCAGAAATAAAGATTGTGTGTTGCATATGGTATTTTAATAAATCTGGGGCATAATTTTACAAATAAGGTTTGCTTAGGTATACGTGACCAAATTTCTGGAATCTGTCTAAAATGTTGAGATAAAAGTTGAGTATGGTTCCTCCTACCTTTCTTCTCTTGATAGTACAAACTTTATTTTACATAGATATGTGGTCAAATAATTGTTTCAGTATGTTTCATTGTTCATGTATCTGGCAAATTTAAAGAAAGTTTTCATTGTGTCCTCGTATTTTCCTATAAGTTATCAGTTATATATATTTCTTAATATATTGGGAATATTATCACACTCGGGCTTTGACTTTTAAAATAAATTAGAAAATCAAAGAATTCAAAAGAAAGGACAGAATCTTGTTTAAAGGACTGCCTCCAATCAAGTAGTAAATTTAGTTTCTGGAAGAACACTATTTATCACCAGTACTGTGCTCTGATACCTTTGTTCTTGAACTTGAAAATGAAATGCTGTAAAGCACCATTTCTAATAAATGATAGAATTCCCTTTTGATGAAGTGTGTTATGTCAGCTTGCGCAGGATGAAGGCAGTTACGTCGGGGGCTTCGCGGTGGTTGAGTATAACACTGCGGAGCATGCTGAGGAGGTTCAGCAGGCCGCCGATGGCATGACCGTCAAGGGAAGCAAAGTCCAAGTTTCCTTCTGCGCCCCAGGAGCACCAGGGCGAAGTACATTAGCAGCGTTGATAGCAGCTCAACGAGTGGTAAGTTTTTGGTTCTTTATTAGCACGTAAAAAATTCTAACACTTTTTTAACCTATCCAAACTAATTACTGTTGATTGGACCTTTATTATCTTTCTGCTTCATAAAGACTTCTTCTTTTTAAAAAACTGATGAACATGCATCTCTCTCGAATCAAGCCAAGAGTCGTTACAAAAGAAGAAAATGTGTTTCAAGTGTATTCAGCTTAGGAAATTTTTTGGAGGAATGTCGTTCATTCAACAAATACTTGAGTTCCTGTTCTGCTCGAAATCTTGAGTGTAAGGTGCCTCTTTTTTGCAAAGTGTTCATAAGTATCCGTAGTACAAGTAGTTGGTTTTGCTCACGTGCACGTTGTAGCTGCCTCTCTGTTGTAAGCGTCTCCTTACCGCTCTCCCGCTTCTCCGCCTGGAGTTCCACGCGGGGAGATCCCTTCCTCACACTTTTTACTCCTAGTCCTTAGCTGAGTAAACATCTGTTGACTGAACGAAGGAAGGGATACGCTCTTGAAGGGGTCAGGGAAGACTTCGTAAGGAAGGTAGTATTGAGTGTGAGTTTGAAATGTGTTGATGGGGATGGAGGGTAGGACTGCCAGGTAAACACAGCTTTTGCATGAGATGCTCACATTAAAAAATTTCTCTTTGTTTGTCTGAAACCCAGACTTAACTGGGCCTCCTGTATTTTTACTTGATAACTCGGGCAGCCCTGAGGGAGAGAGGGGGGTCAAATTCCAGGTGGGACAAAGCCTCTGAAGCGGTCTGGGCGCGCCGGTGGGAAGGGGTGTGCGGGGAAGCGGTCGGGCGACGCCGAGTCAGGCAGCGCTGTGGAGCACCCCGAGAATTTAGGTCGGACTGGCGGGTTATAAAGCAACACACGGGGGAGCGGCGGGGCAGAGTTAAGCCATCCGCGGGTGAGTCTGCAAGTGGTTTGCAGATGAACCGGAGAGAGGACATCAGGGGCGGGGGAAGGTGGGGACTGTCGCTGGTCTCGCATCTCTTTCCCTCTCATTTGACCTCACCTCTGGTTCCGGGCCCCTTCCCCTCAGGTCCTCCTGTCATTGTCGTCTTCTCCCGTGCGTAATTCATCAGTCCAGCCCTTCCTTCACTCTCAGTCTCATTGCCTTTGGTTAAATCATCTCTCCGTTGCATTGGATTTGCTGAGCTGACAATTCTGAATCCATCCAGACACCGACGTCTACAGCCGGGCCCGGTGTCCTCTCCGAGAGAAACCGCTAGGTGTCTTGATGCCACCACAAATGGTGACATACATTTGTCGCTGGTCCCACAGCAAAACTAGCTCCTCTCTCATCAGCGGCTCCTTTCCGTTTTCTACAGCAACTGTCTCAAACCTCCTTTCCGTCGCGGCTCCTGCTGTATAGAAATACCGAGGCCCTGGGCTGGGCTCGCTCGTTCCCCTTCCCTCATACTCCCCCGGCACATGCGCCCTGTTTGTTGGTGGGTTTTTCTTTAACTTCTCTCTCTCCTCAGTAGCGTTGTGCTTACTACCTGCTTAGGATGGGCAGCGAGCGGGCACCGGGCCCCGCGCCTGGGCCAGGGCTGCGCTTCCTCCGGCCGCAGCCGGGCTCCCGGCCCCGGCCCCGTCCCCAAGGGCCTTGATTCCCATCTTTTTATATAGTTTCACTTGTTGCTCCACTGGCTTCATCTTATCTGCTTATAAACAGTCTCAAATCTTTTCCTTTAAAATTTTCCTCTAGATCCTGGCCTTTCTGTTCATTTCCCCCCCAGCGGAGCCCCTGGAAGGAACAGGTGGGCCCGCTCGCCGTCTCCGTCGCTTCACTTCCCATTTTCTCGGCCCAGGGCCTTGCCTTCCGCCTCCACTGTTCAAGGGGACCTGTTCTCACGAAGACAGACGGCGATTTCTTCACTCAGGCCGCACGGGCGCTGTTCGGTCACCGCCTGGCCCCTCTGCAGCACTCTGCTACCTTGAGCTCCCCGCCCCGTGCTTTCCCTAACTGCCCCCCTTCTCTGAGAGCAGTGTCAGTAGACTTCTGTATGTGACCACCTCACTTCTTTTCCTTTTAAAGACTCCAGTGGGTTTAGTTCTTGCCTATCTATGATCACTGTTAAGCATACATTTTTGGACCAAACTACTCTTAGAATTAAATCTGTATTTCCGGGTGATGAGTACACATTCTACCTTTGTTATATAAATAATTCAATTTCAGTATTTAACACCACCCCCCCCCCAAAAAAAACTCCTATTTTTCTCTGGGACTTTCTTTTCTGTGTTTTGTGATATTTATATATGGCATCAGTCCATCCAAATTAAAAACTATCTGAACCCAAAACTTAAATCAAGATTGGTCTCCCTCACCCACTCCCCAAATACAGATGTGAGAAATACTAGCCAGTCCTTCCCGCGGCACCTCCTGATGTCTGACATCCTTGGGACTTGTTAGCATCTTTGTCACTTTGCTCAGGACCTCATCTTTTCTCACCGCGATGCCATCAGAATAACCCCTGCCGAGCACCGTGTCGTTGGTCCGCCCCTTTATCAGTCCACAGCGCCGCGGGAGTGACCTTTCTCACCCTCAGATGGGCTTGTCTTTCTCTTGCTTAATATTCTTTAATGCCCGCAGCCATTCAGATTCCTGCACCCTGGCCGGGTGGTTCAACTGGTTAGAGCATCATCCCGGTACGCCAAGGTTGCGGGTTCGAGCCCCAGTCAGGGCACATGCAGGAATCAACCAGTGGATGCGCAAGGAGGTGAAACAGCAAAGCCATGTCCTTCCCTCTCC